CGTTCGTCAATTCGCCAGTCTGTACGAGAAGAAGCTGGGCATCAAGCGCGGCATCATGGAAAAAGTCCTCTGGGGCTCTTTCTACCTGGACCCGAAGACGAAAAAGATTCTCGGCCCAAAGCATCTCAAGGGCCGCAACCTCAAGCCCATGTTCGTGCAGCTTGTTCTTGAGCCCATTTGGGCCGTCTACCAGGCCACAACAGGCGGAGACCATGGAAAGGGAGACCCCGCGCTGCTGGAAAAGATCACCAAGTCCCTCAACCTGACTTTGCCCCCTCACATTATGCGGAGCAGAGACCCAAGGTTAGTGCAGAGCGCTGTGTTCGCCGCATGGCTGCCTTTGTCTACCGCCCTGCTTGTCTCTGTCATCGAGTCACTGCCTGCACCGCCAGTCGCCCAAGCTGCAAGACTTCCCGAGATGATTCAGGAGTCCCCTGGTGGCGATCATGTCAGCGACGATGTCAAGGACGCAATGGTGTCCTCCAAGACGGAAAAGTCAGACCCCATCGTCGCCTACGTCAGTAAAATGGTCTCCATCCCAGAAAGCGAACTTCCACAGAACAAGCGACGTGCGGGACAGCTAAGCCCAGAAGAAGCACGAGAACTTGCGCGGAAGAAGCGTGCCGAAGCGGCTCGAGCTCAAGCTGCAGTCGGTGGCGACAGTGCCGTCAACGATCTTGGTACCGCACTCGAGGAAGTCGACCTCGACAATTACGCTCCGAAGCAAGAAGAGAAGGAAGAGGACCCAGAGCATCTGATTGGTTTTGCGCGCATGTATTCCGGCACGCTCTCTGTCGGCGATGAGCTTTATGTCATACCTCCCAAGTGGTCGCCGGCGAATCCACATTCCCCGGAGCCGCACAAGATCACGGTGACCGCCTTATACATGCTGATGGGCAGGAGTCTGGAGGCCCTCGACTCTGTACCGGCGGGCGTTGTTTTTGGCATTGGAGGACTGGAGGGTCACATTCTCAAGTCCGGAACCTTGTGTAGTCGACTGGAAGGCGCTGTCAACCTTGCTGGCGTCAACACGCTAGGCAAGCCCATTGTTCGCGTTGCTCTTGAGCCTGTCAACCCTGCTGATCTCGACAAGATGATCCATGGCCTGCGATTGCTTGTGCAGAGCGATCCATGCGCCGAGTACGAGCAGTTCAGCAGCGGAGAGCACGTTCTCCTGACAGCAGGCGAACTTCACCTTGAGAGATGTATCACGGATCTCCAGGATCGATTTGCCCACTGCGAGATCCAGGCTGGCGCCCCCATCGTGCCGTACCGCGAGACTATTGTCAAGGCGGAGGAGATGCGTCCGCCTGCGAACAAGGACCTCGGCCGTGGTGTCGTGGTCGGTGTGACATCGTCCAAGCAGGTGTCCGTCAAGCTCCGTATTCGGCCCCTGCCTGCCAAGGTCACCGACTTCCTCTCGAAAAACAGCGAATGCATCAAGGGCTTGTACACCGACCGCAAGGTCGAGAACGGCGCCAGCGAGGATACGCAAGCTGATGAGGCCGACATTGACACCGACGTGGCCGCCGGAAAGACCCTGTCGCAAGACGAATTCAAGGAGCAGCTCCAGGCCCAGCTCGAGTCTGGCAAGGGCCGCGAAGCCTGGAAGAATACGGTTGAAAGAATCGCCGCGTTCGGCCCGCGCCGGACAGGCCCCAACCTTCTCATTGATGGGTCCTCGGACGGCATTCTCCAACATCTGTTCGCATCCGATGCCGCGGACCGTGATGTCGCCGCAACCGCTGCCGACGAGTCCCTACGCCCTGCCCATCTGGCCGACAAGCTCACGTACGCCTTCCAGCTCGCCGTGGCCCAGGGCCCTCTCTGCCACGAACCTGTCCAAGGCATCGTCGTCACGGTCGAAGAGGTCACGATCCACGAGACCGAGGAGGCGCCCACGTCGTCCGCCCGTCTCACAGGCGAAGTCCTCAAGACGACGTCCAACGCCATCCACAGCGGCATGCTTGACTGGTCGCCGCGCCTGCTGCTCGCCATCTACACGGTCGAGATCCAGGCCTCGACAGAGGTGCTCGGCCGCGTGTACGACGTCCTCACGCGCCGCCGCGGCCGCGTCCTCTCCGAGGCCATGAAGGAGGGCACCCCCTTCTTCACCATTGCGTCTGTGCTGCCCGTTGCTGAGTCGTTTGGGTTCGCGGACGAGATGCGCAAGAGGACCTCGGGCGCCGCGCAGCCGCAGCTCATCTTTGCCGGTTTTGAGATTCTGGACGAGGACCCCTTTTGGGTGCCCTTTACGGAAGACGATCTCGAAGACCTGGGCGAGTTTGGTGACAAGGAGAACGTGGCCAAGAGGTACATGGACGCGATCCGCAAGAAAAAGGGCCTCCTCGTTGAGGGTCGCAACGTGGCGACCGATGCGCAGAAACAGAAGACCCTGAAGAGGTAGTGAAATGCTCTTTCGATAGCCAGACTTGGGTAAAAGAAGAGAAAAGAGCATGCGAGGATATCCTTTTCAACACTGTAGTCATCAGCGTCACCATGCAAACTTGTGAAGTTCAACTGTCATCATTTGTCTCGCGGGTAGGTTCCGTGTCTATCGATGAGCCTCCCAAAGACCCCGCGTACACTAGATTCCTCGCCTAACCGACGCCTCCCGTGTTTCCTGCCTCCGACCCCCCCCCTCGCCATGCTAATAACCATCGGCCTGTGACGCCGCTGAGAAACCCCGAGAGAGGAAAGGAAAAAAAAAAAACAGGAATCAAGCAGAAGGAACATGGCCTCCTCTTTTTCTTTTCGTCCACGGGCAACACCAGTCGGCCTACCGGACAAAAAGGGAACATGATCAGACCAGTGCGACGCGGGGGGGGGGAGGAAACAAGAACAGAAAAAGCCAGTGCCAAACCCTCCCATAGCATTCCACCATCTAATGTCGCGCATCGTGAGTTGGAGAGAGGATTTGTTTTTTTCGTCAGATGCAAGCGGGAGGGGCCAAGAAAGAGAAAAGCGAGCAGTCGAATCAAAAAGCAACAAGGGCCGTGATAAGGGAGGGGAAAAACGCGTCCGAGGATGCGGGCAACCTTTTTCCGTCGTCATAACTCCGTAGAAGGCCGTAAGGCGTCTGCAGCTTTGGCGCAGTCGATATTCGAGCGAATATCAAACTGCCAAGGGCAGACAGACATTCTTTCGCCAGAAATCCGATCCGCTCTGTTGGGGCGGACCAGCATCCAACGAACGCTTTTGACAAAGCACATTTTGATGGTAAGGGACTGAGAAGCCTTGCGTCGTAAGAGGGGTGAGAAAAGTCATTTCGGGTATCGGGCCGGGTAGGGGTATCAT